AAATAAGAGCTTAAAATGCTCTATTTCAATTTTGAAGGAAGTTGCATCAATTTTTGTAAAATTCAAAACAAATCTTTCAAAAAAAATTTGTGATCTGAAAGCTGACATAAAGCTGACTATGCCCCTGCCCCTGATGATGATATCTTACAGTTCATAGGTTGAATGGTCTTAATAATCTTAACAATATTAAAATAGTTTTCATGGCATTCTATGGTTTGAATGTTACTGAATTGTTATTTGCTTACATTCAATAGAAGTATTGTGATTTTGACTATACTTCTGAATTGAAATTGGCTAAATCAAGTAAAGTATAACAAAGAAGAGGATATGAATTGATTCCTGTAGGTGAATCTCTTATTTAAGAGTGCGGGGAAAGCTGTTTTCTTGTAAAGGGTAGAACTATTCATGATTGGAGCAGGTGAAACAAATTAGACTTTTTCACAACCATCACCTTGCCAATAATTGCAAATAAGCTAACTGCTCCATCACATCATGATAAACCATGGCATCTCATTTCTTCTCATCCCTTCAGGTGAAACAGAAAGATGCTATGAGTATCAGAATGGCTCCATCATGATAACCACGTCCCCTTTGTCTTTATCCTCTAAACAGCAGAAAAGGGGGTCTGGTATACCAAAATGTAGTTCAGCCTGGGTAATGAAGTCAGATTCAAGACAGATAATGATCAAATACCATCAAGGATATTTAAAGAACACAAAGGGCAAAATTTGAATAAACCCAAAGTATATTTTATTTTTATATACATGTAGTCCCTAACCTAAAGATTTCATTCCTTTGATATTTTGATCAATAGAGCAAGCCACAAGCCATGTACTTGTCTCACTTTTCACTTGTAATTCTTCCCTATTATACTATTAATTGCAGTACAAATAACCTAAACAATTTGATCAACGTAACTCAGATAAATCGGCATGAAGGCTTCATGGTATTTGTTTATATCCATTATTTAGTTATTTACTTATACAATTAAGCAGGATTAACTGACATAAAACACAAATAGATGAACAGCTTTAAATGGGAAAAGTATTTATCTAGGAAAATTAGTACTATAAGGTCAATAAATGAGCATGAGGAAACATAAAAAACTAACAGAGCAAAATCACTCTCCTATACCTAACCCCTAGAAATGCATAAGATATTCTGTTTGTCTAATTGTTTTGTTTAGTATATTTTTGAAAGTACCTTATTAACATCTAACAGTCATATAATAAACCATTAATAAGGAACAGACACATAAAAACAAATAACATAATCATTACTCATAAGGCAAATGGGTTGCTCATGAACACCTAATGCAAGGTATAGTATACAAGCATAGCTTCTAAAGCCAGGATAGCACACAGCCCCTCAACAAAAATATTTCAGAATGATTCTTAAAAGGGAGTTTCATCTTCACTCTCCATTTACAATAAATGTCTGAACTCACCAAGCTAATTAGATTTCATCGTCGAAGTATAGACAACTTTCCACATGTGGTCATTTCCTCTGACCTAATCCAATAGTTAATGAACACGCATTTATAGCACTTGTTCTTTCCAGCTTGCTATATTGCTTGAGAAAAGGCCAGCGCGGTAGGTTTGAAATGATTTAAGACTCACACTGTCACCGGTACCAGTAGTGGGGGTGGGACTGTTAAACAGAGGGTAGTTTATAACTAGACTGCGTGCAGGATAGGAAATTGTAAAATGAATCAAACACAACCTCAATATCACGCTAGACTTGAGGCAGTTTTGAATAAATGTATTGTTGGAATTTATCAATTTTTCCTGTAGGTTAAGCCAGTCTGCTAATATAATTACCTTTCTTTTAGCACCTCCCCAAGGATGAAGTCATTTCCTGAATACACAAATAACTGTAATGCATATGGATTCAAACTTTTATCAATGTTAAGGATTCAGGTTCTGTATTACAGTATTTCATTTCAATAATTTAGTATTTTATTTTGTTGACACAAATAACTCTAATGAACATGGATTCAAAATTATATCTATTTTGTCTTAATTGTTAAAACTGAATGGTTCAGGTTCTGTTCTATTTCATCTTCAACTAATGTTCAGATATTTTTACTTATGTCATAACAAGATGGAGGGATTCTCAAGGTTGGATTAAAATATGTTAATTTTGTGGTTACGGTTATGCATGCATTTTCTTTTGTATTCTCTTTCAATTTGCTTTTAATTTGTCTATTGTTATTTGGGATTAAGAGGAGACACCTGTCTGGATGATAATTTATTAAATACTTTTTGGATTTGACTCATTTTAGAGACTAATGTCTTTTGGGCAAAAAACCTATACATGTTATTTCACGATGCAGTGACAGATTTCAACTTACCACTTTTGGTCAGCAAATAAAATTAACAGTTGTTTTATAATTTTTGTCTTAAAAATTTGGTAGCACTTTTTTTGATAAAAAGCACACCGATTTTTGACTATGAGTTTCTCTCAGAATATATACTTAAAATTTGATTTGTTGATCACAGTTGTATGTTGGAAGCTACCTCAATGCTTTACACAAGACAAAAATACAAGCTCAATTTAAAAGGCTGTCATATTTGTTAGCTATGTATTGAATGCCTCAAAAATATTCTTATTTATGTAACGTCCTTTTGGCTAGATAGAGCATTGCCTCCAATAGTTCAAGCCCTGATCCATTGATTTATTATGTGATACAAAGCTATGTTGTTTAAGATGTTTGATTATAGTTGATATATCAGTATAATAGCAGATATAAGAAGCTTGAATTCTTAATCAAGCTAATTTAAAGATATAGAGGATGTTATCATTTGTTGTGATTTGTGCAGATCCTGATTGATTGTTATGTCATAGTGAGCTGATTAGAGATAATGTTCTATCTCTAATTACTTATCAGATGTTCGGTATAAGAAAATGTAGTACTAGAGAAGAAAGCAATAGAGGAGGTAGAACTAGATGAGGTAGAACTAGAGAATGTAGCACTATAGAAGGTAGCACTATAGAAGGAATCACTAGAGAAGAAAGTAATAGAGAAGGTAACATTAGAGAAGGTAGCACTAAAGAAGAAAGCAATAAAGAAGGTAAAACTGTGAAAGGTATGACTAAGCACTATAGAAGGTATCACTTAAGAAGGTAGCACTAGAGAAGAAAGCAATAGAGAAGGTAGAACTGTGAAAGGTATGACTAAGCACTATAGAAGGTATCACTTAAGAAGGTAGCACTAGAGAAGAAAGCAATAGAGAAGGTAGAACTGTGAAAGGTATGACTAAGCACTATAGAAGGTATCACTTAAGAAGGTAGCACTAGAGAAGAAAGCAATAGAGAAAGTAGAACTTTGAAAGGTATGACTAAGCACTATAGAAGGTATCACTTAAGAAGGTAGCACTAGAGAAGAAAGCAATAGAGAAGGTAGAACTGTGAAAGGTAGCACTAGAGAAGGAAGCACTAGAAAAGGTAGCACTAGAGAAGGTAGAACTTGAAATGTAGTATGAGAAGCTAGCACTCAAGGATCTCAGTAGATTATCCTATCAATCATGATATTTACATGCTTTTGGCAAGTATCAATCTATATAATCAATCTTAAACTGCCTGTGAAAATTTGGAATCATTAAATGCTATCTCTCTGTAGATCCTTTTGTTTATTCCGCAGAATCCTATTCTTAAAACTTTTGGAACTGGAACAATTTATTTGACATACTGAATAAGATATTTTTATTTTACTTTTAAATGATGACAAGATTAAGTATAATGAATCAGTGTTGATAAATAAGCTTAAAATCCCTATAGATATGAGGGTTGATCCAAAAGTTCAGAACATTGCTCAGAGGTTGCCATGATGGCAGTCTTTATAACAAAAGGTCACAGGTTAAACAATAACAAATTTATATTTGAATGCATTCTTCATAAAAATACAAGTACTTTTTTATACTGTTTATGGATATACGTACATTAGTCTACATGTACATTTACTAATATACTGGAATGGCAGTGCTTATAAAGATGACATAAAAAATGGACAAAAGATACAACTAAAAGATAGACTCTGTTTAAATTGTAACCTAAATCAAATAGAGGATGAACTACATTTAATTTTTTACTGCCCTTCTTATACAAACCAGAGAGCAATATTCTTCAAAATACTAGCTGAAAATATTCCTATTACCAACTTAATGCCTGAATTCTTAATAAAGGAGATCATGAACAGCAAAATTAACATATTAAAATATTTTGCCAAATTCCTCATAGATTGTAACAATGTAAGAGCATTCATATCCAGTCTTTAACATTGTATAAGTTTGTAAATATTTGTAAATTTAGTTTGTATCATAGAATATACATTTTGTAGCAATTATGTTTGTCAAGCCTATTTGAAAAGGTGTTTTCAGTCTGAATGTATATATCAACACTACATTAGAATCATGATGTAATGTATTTTTCCATTTTGCTTATGACTGTATATTTGTATATAAAACACATGTAAATAACTGTATAGTGACCCATGTGTCGGAGAGACTGACATACATAAGAGTCAATAAAAGAATATATATATTGCATCTTTGTTTGCAAAAATATTTGTTTGTACTGCCATCTATTAATTGTTCTAAAAATATTTTTACCAGATCAATACCCAACTTGAGAAGAAAGATTTTAACTTTGTCTTAAGATTTTCAGAATCTTGAATTTTGGTTACAGAATTGACAATTTTTCTGAAAATATTAACAATTAGCCTTTCCTCTGTAGTTCTATGGTTTCTCCACTTAATTTCTTTTTAGATTTTGTGTATAAATAGCCAAGAAATTAAAGCTTTATATCAGCTACTTTATATCATGTCAGTGGAGTTAAAAAGTGCTTCAAGGTTTGATACCTTCATTAAGTTATTTTTCTTATAAAGATTTGTCCCTACAAGGAGCATACACACAAAGTTTTATTGGATCTCAGATATTGCTGCTATACATTGCTGTACTATTGTACTACATATACGTGGTGCATCCTTGTGGATGGTTTTGTTTCAAATATATTATATTGCAGAATGTTGATTGATATATTCATGCTGATGGCTGAGTTTTCCAGTATTGCACAGCCAGGGCCTGCACTAGGTTTTTGAAGTAACAGTGTGGTATCCACACTCCATACTATCTCCAAAGGCTATATTCGATCCTTTCAGTGGCATAAAAAGTCATGTGATCGCTGATCACTGTTTGTTGTCTAATGAAATGTTTTTCAACTTCAAAATGATGGGTTAACTTATGCAAATTAATAGGTTAATATGTTAGCTGGCAGCCGGTAGTTGCTTGCGCGAATTGAAGTTACTATATGAGGGACTAATAGAGTGTTAGGCGGTAGCCCAGCTTGAACTCTGCATTGAGGAATGTGGTTGAATCCTATCCTCATTCATATTGATGATGATATCGATGTTGTGATTTATCGTTGGAATGGGTGAATACATTGGTTCTCAGAACACTGTTGAGGGCATTGTGTACATGTACATCCTGGACATTGTTTGGGCATGGTGGGTGTGTTCGTTGTATTTTTTATCCTTTTCTCTGTTTTTTCAAGAGTTCCTAACTCATCTGATGAGCTAGAATATTTCCGGAATTTTGCACTTGTATGAATACAGCAACAGCATAATCTATTGATAAGTTTATTTTTGAAATTGTCACGTTTCTCATGTTTTCTCCAGTAGAAAAAGCAGGCTAGTCCAGTAAGTATGATAAATATAAGAGCTGAGATTGATGCCGGGATTATGAATCTTAGAGGGTCCTCCATTCCACTTCGACCTGCTGAAAATATACAAAACACATATGTATTACAGTCACTCCTGTTAGAAATATCTGACAAATCACATTTAAAAGCAAATACTTTGCTCTAGATATTATTGACGATATAATTCTTATTATATGGAAAGACCAACATGAATGCATTAATTGCTACATCTCTATATATTATTAATTACCAGTATTTAAGCAAATGGTTTCATAATTTAATACAATATAACATTTTTATTTATTTCGCAGCACTACTTTAATCTTATAACTTACCTACTTTGAGTTTATCTGATTTTGAATTACTTGAGTTTTATCCCCCAAAATATAAGTACATGTAGTTCCAAAAATAAAGGTTTCATGTGTAGCTGATTAAAAAGAAATGATTCATATATCTTGGTCTCAATATACTACAGTAAAACATGTACATGTATACCCAAACACCACTCTAATCCAAACACACAACTATAATCCAAACACCTCTCAATATGAACACTTTTTTCCTAATTTTGTTATCTCCCATCTACTCATATATAAAATAGACCCTAAAATGGGAACACTTTTAATGTGAACACTTTTGAATGGTCCCAGTGGTGTTCAGATTTTACAGGTTTTACTGTATATATTTATGATCCTATGGTGTGAATTAACATATGCTTCCTTGAGGAGGTCTCCAATTATCCTAGACTGTACAAAAATACTAATTTGTTTTGGTTATCAATAATAGAGACAATATTATATTGTTGCGATGCATTTATCCGTAGATAATTATCGTGTGTTGGAATATTTATAAAACAATTGTTTGAAGTGTTGTGTTAATTGATCTGAAAAACAATAGCTTCAATTTTCATTTTAAGTTTTAGATTGAAATAAATTCAAATATGAAATATTTACTGACATTGAATGGCATTTATAAATACCATGCTAATACTATGTTAACATGTTATACTTTACTTTGATCGTATTAGACAGGTTTGACTGTATATTATGTTAGAATTAAACAGACTTTGTTCAGATAAGACAGGGTCCACTGAGTTATATTCATTAAAACAGGATTATATTATTGAAAATAAACAAATGAAATGACACCACATAAGTCTTGCATTAAGTCTTTAAATCCCTCCGTTTGTACTTTGCCATAGGATTTTGAAGGTGAAATATATAGGGAAAGGTAGGTTATAAATGCAACTACCACCCAGCCCCTCAGCAAGGGGAGTAAGGAGGGTTCGAGCGAACCTCCCTCCCCCTGCCAAAAAGTGTTTCAAAATCATGCAGTTTTTCACCATTCTGAGTACTTTTCAAGTGATTTTGGCCACTTTTGTGCCATAGTTGGCAAATGTGAGTTACTCCCCTTTTTAATAAAGTGAACCCCCCTTGGCAAAAGCTGGCTATGGGCCTGACTGCCACTGATACATACCTTGTGTTATTGGTAGAATAGCCAATATGGTGCATTCTTGCATCAGAGGATGTAATCTCATTATCTAGAATGCCTCTTTAATTGTCCATTAATAAAATGTTGTTTTCTCGCCAGGTTAATTAAACCTAAAATAACAAAGAAATCATCCTTATATCAACTGGAAGATTCCTCAAACACTTCAATGTATTAGTTATAAAGCATTGTGTAACTGCGTTCCCTTTATGTCATTCTTTTCTTTTGCAAATGACAGATAAGAGATGGTCGTGAAAACCACCAGAATGGTTGTATAATGTAATAGCAGGCTTTTCTTGGTTTCCTTATCAGTCTAATAGGATATCTCTGCAGTCTGAACACAACTAATATCTAATCTCCAATGAGTAAAATCTTGATATGCACTTCAAACTACCTCTTATATTAGACTATATATATAAGGATCATAGGTTTACCTTTGGACTGCATAGGAACCCTTTGTGTCATCAATTTAGACCATCACACCATTACCTCTCTGTTTCACATATATGTCCTGAAATAAATAAAAACTGTTGATTTGTGTATGTATTTTAACACACATATTGACATATAATTTTGATTTCAAAGGGTGTATTTAGGGTTAATGTGACGATTCAGAAAATAAATGCATGAATCAAAATTGAACATATTTTTTGTTAAATGGATTAAAGTGATTCATAATGACAATGACATGATGTTATAATAGCCTAATAATATAATGCATGATTAAGTTATTTACTTATTTTTAAGATAATTATATAGTACAATATTAGATACAGTATTATCTTATTTTAGTAAATAAATACATTAATTACGCCTAGATTGTAACTGCATTTGCTGACACATGATGAAAGAAGCAATTTCTTTCAAATGATGAAAGTCAAAAACTAGATATCTACGTGCATATGCTAATGTTACCTCAATTAAATTAACTTATACTTGCCACTTGACAATTTTTTGAAGTCTTATAATATTAACTATGTATATTTGTACAGTGATAACTGTCCTGCAGTATGTGCTTTCTATCACATAAACATTTTTCTCATGAAAAGCAGTGGCCCTATACTGGACTACCACCTATATTGCCAAAGTATATAGGGCTAATTTTGACATGAAAATCAATCAGACTGTCATTGAGGAAAAAATAATAAAACTAATACTTTTAGTGTATTTAATGATTACTGAGGAGTTCCTTATATATATATTAGCAAAATGAGGACACTCCTAACCTTCCTTCTAGATTGATGAACTTATCCTTATAATTAGACGCCCTTATACCTTATCTCGCTATCTTTATGGTTATGTACTGGAGGTCCTTACCAGTATCTAAATGAGGTACAATTTATATACATGTACTGTAGAAGTGGAAACTTTAACGACCTGGAAACTTTGGCGAAATTTAGCGTTGAAGGAGAGACGCCAAAATAAAAATTCGTAGAAAAATATGAAAAAAATATCGGTGGGCGATAATACCGTGAAGAATACAGATCGACATCCAGATGCTGAGTTTCGTTTCGAATACATAAATAATAAATACCTCAGTGCTTCCTCATCGATTTACAATCATAATTGATACTTATTTTGTTTTGCAATGAAAACATTACAGAAATAATTTTTCGATTTTTCGATCACAAAATCTGTTATTTGATTGGATATCTACTGTCACGTGACAACTTATCACATGATTCACCATCTCTGATAGAGTATGTATGTACTAAGTATGTTTCCCAAAGAGTCAAATCTTGTCTCTCTGCCAGCTTTTGAGATACAGCAATGGGCAAAGCAAGCTGTGATATCTGATATCTTGTTTGTTGTAATACTATATCCATCAGACAACATTTTTGTAAATAAGTTCATAAGGTAGGAACAATGTTAGACAACATGTTTAGGTTTGATAGCTAGTTCATCTTTAATTGACTCAATAATCAGGTCATATGACATATCAGTCACTACACTGTACAAAAACTTATTGTTAAATGAACCTCTATAAGGGCCTAGGGGAACACCTCCCAAGTAGAACACTTTTTAGAGGTACTGAAAGGTCTTTTACTTAGACAGGTTTTACTGTATGTACTTTGACCTTTATCATTGGTTAATAAAGTCTAGAAAGCACAGATATCTATTCACTGTTATCAATTGTTATTCAAAAATTATTTTTCCGTTGTAAAAAAACTGTATGCAAACAACATGTATTACATGTATATAAATATATTATCTGCGTCATGTTAAAGTATACAATCAACATCATTGGTAAAGCTTAATATCAAACAGATAATATAGATTAGTATGTTCAACAATCAAGTTGAAATATTGATTGAGGATCACTGAACCATATATTAAAGGATAATAGACATCCATAATTAATTGATTTGGTTTGGATAATGTTAGGATGCACATGGCCACATACCTCACAGTTTGTGTTTTAGTGGCTCATGCCTAATGATAGCTCTCAGAAATAAGTTCCTTCCTTTTCAAAGTCCCGTATACCAGCCAACAGCATATATATTGCCATGAACGCAACCTGCATAAGCACTGCGCTACAGCTTGTCGAAATGCAAATAATTTTTCAGCTTATATGCAGGACTTAAAGGTTATGTCACTATCGTGGCATATATGCCCGAGGTCTCAGTGATATATGGCCCGACCTTGGGAGGGACATTGATCTCTGAGAACCGAGGGCATATGTGCCACGATAGTGACATAAACGATTTATAACATACCTATGATGATGTAGACTGGTCAGAGACTAGGCTACCATTTTTTTTTTATAGAATTGAAAAACAAATGGTTTGAAAATGATTGAAATGAGTAAAGAAAAATTGTTCGCGCAGTTTTATCTTCGATTGATTGGTTATGACGTCAGCGCCTTGACCAATCAGAAAGTTAGCGGGCGCAGGCTTTTTACAACTTATATTGGCCTGCTGTCTTGTGTACACTTTACACTATACATCATCATAGGTATGTTATAATATGAATTACTGTATGCTCGTTGTTTGATGACAACATTTGATGCTACGAATAGAACCTTAGCAGGTACCTGCAACGTTTCGTTTTGAAGGCTATTGGTGTCTTTACCCACCTTGAAGTCATGACCTACCTTGAGTTGGTGGTGCGCCCCAAGCTGTACCTTATCTATAACTCGGTATATATTACGGAAAAACTGAATCCTGTCAACTTAAACACCACAATGAAACCATGTGATGCAGACTTGTCGTACATGTCACATGACTTGTAATAAAGCCAAGATGAGAAAAAACCAGCATGCATCCTTGTACTTTACAAATTCTACTGTATGATGTACCATACAGATAAAACTTAAAAAACATCATAATTACCTGTTCATAAAATAAGGCACTGAACCATGTATAGACTAGTACATGCAGGCAGGTATTCAAACGTCCTATTTCCATATAATAAAGTGTATATGAGGACTTAGGAGTACACTTCTTGTACCATCTGGATCAACAATACTAATATGCTTGCGTACCTGACAAACAGCATGTTTTACTTTCATATATGGGAGTCCACATGTGTTTTATATTCCCTGGTTAATATCTAACTCAGACTGTCTGATATGCTTGTTTGGGTCAC